ATCTTATCTTATCTTATCTTATCTTGTCTTGTCTTGTCTTGTCTTGTCTTGTCTTGTCTTGTCTTGTCTTGTCTTATCTTACCTTACCTTACCTTACCTTACCTTACCTTACCTTACCTTACCTTACCTTATCTCACCTACCTACCTACCTACCTAGGCAGCCTAGCCTTGATCCCGAAACTTCGGCCAATCCCTTAAACCTACAACCCGCAAATCTATTCCCCACCCAGATCCCAAAGGCCCGAAAGTCTCCGGATATCAAGCAGTTCAAGCCTTAGGGCAGTTTGGAGTTGAGGTTTTCGGCTGTCGAGGACTTGATCTCAAAGTCTTTTCGGATTTAGGGCTTCGGGGATTTTAGGGTGTTTGCTTTAGATGTTTTGGAGATAGATAGATACAGATATACATGTGATAGATAGATAAGATAGATCGATAGATAGATAGATAGATAGATAGATAGATAGATAGTATATATAATGTGTGTATATATATATATACACACATAGGGGGGAAGGTCTTTATCGGTCGAGCTTAGGTAGGTAGCCACAGTTCCAAGCCCTGGAATTGTCCTGAGCCGAAGTTCCGAAGCCCTGGTGTCGCCCAGGTACCCAGACATTTTGAGCTCCCTGCGGCAACCGGTGAAGCGAGGGCGGCCAAACTTGTCCAGGTGCCTTCCTGGACTGCGAATTGGTAGCTGGGCTGGCTGACTGTATATAGATTGGGTACAGGAGTATAAATTAAGCTATGGTGCGGACTGTGGTCAGCTTGCTGCGCTTCTGTTTCTCGACTTTAGTAAGACGGCCGCGATCCAATTGGGATATGGTAGCCATCGGTGAGAACACAATGGTAGGCTTGGGGCTGGCCGCACCATGCAACATCATCCAAAAGTGTTGCTGGAAAACCTTGGAATATCAGAGTTTGCAGTAGGCTGAAGACAGAATCGCAAAAGACACAGCAACCATATGCGTGCTCCGTATGGGTTTTGGGATTAGGGTTTTTGTTAGGCTCCAGGGCTTATAGTATATAGCTAGGGTTTACTTGATACATAGTCTTCAGTTGAGAAGCTCGCACAACCTGGTTGCACATCCAGTCCCATCGTGCGTGGCTCTTCAAAAGCGATTGGTGGGGTTGTTCTACCACCCATGTGGACTGCTTAGCCATGACCAGCAGAAGGAGGAGAACTAGCCTAGCACGTCAATCTGCATGCAAGCATTTACCTAGACTGTGTGCGTGATCACATGAACTCTATTTGTAGGCCTGCTCACCAGGCAGTAGTTCGAAGAGACCCAAGCAATACCCATCCTCCCAAACGGATTGATGCTCGACCTCATACTTGTGGATCTTGCTGGCAGGCCCCAGCTGCTGCAGTCCGGGCCGATGAGGTTGAAGGCATCGGGACATTCGTTCAGCACGACCCAGCAGGCAATCCTCGGCAGCACGGTATGGAATTAATAGGACAGGGGCAGTTGCAACTGTGACTCGAGAAACCCTGGTTTTGAAGGAAGTTCATAGGGTCGCCGTAGAGCTTGTCGAAGCTTGCAGTAGCATACCCCTCGCCATGCCTAGGACCGCAGAGTAAAGCTAGATGGGAAAGCATTGCACACATGATCATGCAGTATAATATGCACAGATGAGATCCCCACCAGAATTGGGTAACCTTCCCTTCTCCAGAGAAGAGCTCGAAGAACTCATACGTTTCATCGAAGGACAGCGTTGTCATCCATCGGAGCAAGAGAACCTTACAACACACAACAGCATAGATCAATATTGGTTGCGACCACAACAGCAACCAAACAGGAAAGGACACACACACACACAGACACCCTATAATTGCATGGTGCGAGACTGTTGCCACGAACACCTGAGCTCATGAACGAATGCAGATTAGCGCAATAACTGGTTGCATGTTGTGACTCTATATAGTTTGCTTTCCGGGTCACCTTTGGTGCTTGCAACTGAACCAAGTTGACGACCAGTGAATTGTCCATGGCACACGGGCACGAAGTCAGCTAGATGTGCCGAGAGTATCGAAACACGGGGCAGGAGGGATGCACTACACACTTTAGGGGTTCCTACCATTCCTACCTACATCATCTTTGCTAGCACCACGGCTGGACAGCTCGACCCACATGGCCCATATATGCCACCCATGAGCTTCACACGGCTAGCTGCCAGCTCTGACTTCATCTCACATGACGGAAGCTTCAAATCGCACGACCAACGACTTTGCTTCGGAGCACACAAACCTCACGCGCCTGCTCGGGAGGCTCGGACTTGCCATCCTTGGACACGATCGCGAACTGGAGGTCGAGGCATCCTGGCAACATGAGGGTTGGGAGGAGGCTTCAAGCTTCAGTCTACAGGCAGGTACAATGGAGTATCTTGCCAGTGCATGCAAGCTGGTCTCAGAAGCTTTTTCTGACGGACAGAGCGAAGCTGCTAAGTGCACGATGTTCACACCGGCTCGGAACCCCAGGTGTTCTTACTGACACCCCACATACCCCGTCGCATTTGGCAAACTGTAGAGGCTTGCACAAGCGAGTAAAACCCAAAGGATGCCATCGGTCATGTGCATCCAGCACCGTGTAGGCGGCTCCACATATGTACGACTCAGGATGTCTCACTGTATGCCTGCACATGTTGTTGCTGCAACACTGACACAAATGCACATGTCACAGAAATCGCACCACTCATATGATTTGAATGCACGGATACCTTCTTGGCTTTCAGTCGGCACTCCTCCTCTGGTTTGCCTTGGTCCCTCGCCTCCTTAAATGCTCTGTGGTACGCAACTGATTTCCTGGACTTTGCCTCCTTGGCAAGCTGCTTTGTGTCACTTGTTGCATTTGACGGCTTGGCATTGTTCGGCTTGCTCGGTTTGCTCTTGCCAGCAGCTTTAGCCTTAGCTTTGGGTTTGGCAGTATCCTTGGCCTTGGTTGCAGACGGCTTGGGCTCTGGCGTGTTTCGGGGCTTCGAGCGTGTGTTCCTGGGCGGTGCCGGCTTCTTTTTGGGGGGCGGTGCTTTATCCTCCTGCTCCTTTTCCATCGGTGCCCGCTTCCTTTTCGGCCCTCTTTTCTTGGGGGATGCTGCATCATCCTCCTCATCCTTTTCCTTCGTTGCCGGCTTCCTTTTCGGCGCTTCATCCTCCTCCTCCTCCTCTTCTATCTCATCTTGCTCTGCACTCTCATCGAGATCATCATCGTCATCATTGGGAGGTGGGGACTCAGGCTGCTTACATCCCCGCCCCCGTCCCCGTCCCCGTCCCCGTCCCCGGCCGCCCCCCTTGGTTCCGGGAGTGCGGCCACGTCCACGGCCACCTCGAGACTTCATCACTGCCTCTTTCGGCTCGGATTCACTGAGCCCGGATCCTTATCATCATCAGCACCAACCGCCTTCCTGGGGCACTTGGTTTTGCTTTTGCTTTTGGCTTTGGCCTTTGCCCCACTCAGCTGAGTCTGCTCAGCCGGAGACAAAGGTTCGGCCTTGGAGGGGTCTGGGCAGCCAGGCAGCATATCCTCCTGCTTTGCAAACTTGGGCGACTCGGGTTCCTTGTCACCTTCGCCATGCTCAGACGGTTCCTTAGGTACGTATACATGTACATCATGCACAACATATGCACCTATGCATGATATATGTACATGCACTGCACCAACTCGATCAGTCTGAAGGTCATTCACAGATGGAGCGTAGTGCAGGGTGCAGTGGCTTGCGATATCATCATCAGGCTCAGTTGGGGTATCCTCGGTGTAGAAACACTCAGCTTGGCCCTGACGTGCAAACGTTGGCTTTTCTGGAACCTCGCTGTTCAGGTGGTGTGGCTCACCAAAGCTGGCATCTTCCAGGCCGGCACTCTCCAAGTTCCAGGGCAATGTGTCCAAGCAGTCAGGTCCTGGGATTATGTTCGAGAGGGGGCTAATCTATTCGGCCAGAGTATATAAGGACTCTAAAAGTCACAACATGTATGGATATGTTGAGCTAGGCTTCCTGTACCCGAGGGCAAGCTGGGTGCACCAAGCAGTGCATTCGCTGAGCTTTCGGGGTCCCCAGAACTCGCCGGCTTGGATGTGGAGCTTGATACACAGCATACGGTAGAAGTGCGAAGACGCTTTGCATCCCCTGCTGCTGGTGCCTCAACCTGCGTTGCATCCCTTGCTGCTGGTGCCTCAACCTGCTTTGCATCCCTTGCATCCCTTGCTGCTGCTGCCTCAACCTGCTTTGCATCCCTTGCATCCCTTGCTGCTGCTGCTGCTGCTGCTGCCTCAACCTTCTTTGCATCCCTTGCTGATGGTGCCTCAACCTGCTTTGCGTCCCTTGCTGCTGCTGGTGCCTCAACCTGCTTTGCATCCCTTGCTGCTGCTGGTGCCTCAACCTGCTTTGCGTCCCTTGCTGCTGCTGGTGCCTCAACCTGCTTTGCATCCCTTGTTGCTGGTGCCTCAAGCTGCTTTGTGTCCCTTGCTGCTGCTGGTGCCTCAACCTGCTGTGCATCCATTCCTGCTGCTGCGGTTGCTTCATGAGCTGCATCCTCTAGGCTGCGAACTTTAGCCTCGTGTAACTGCTGTTCTTCTATGGCAAGCTGCTTCTGCAGTTCTTCTATCTCGCATTGGATCATCATTTCTTCAAGCTGTTGTTGTTCGAACAGAAGCAACTCCTGAAGCTGAAGGCCCTCGGCTTCGAGGTCTCGTAGCTTTGCCAATTCAAGCTCAGCTGCATCAGCTGCCTCAACCCTGGCCTCTGAACCCTTTGGCGGCTGGCACTCAAGGGCTTTCAGATCCCCTAGGTCCATGCTTGCACAATCGCAATTGAGGCAGCGGTACCCATAGGCCCTATCTTTTACGAAGTAGTGCTTCCCATGTTTCTTTGCCTCGCTCTGGGGAGAATACGGCAAGCCTCGGATAAGAGATCATCAATATTATCTCATGCAACAAGTTGACTACTCGATCATGTGCCACCTGGCAGCCTCTGGGAGGTGGTGTCACCACCAACGAAGAAGAGGACTCCGAGGGCGGCGACCGCGCACTAACACCTATGGAGTTGGGTCGTTCTTGTTGCCTAGAATGCTAGATCGAATAGGGCCTGGCAGCACGAGCTTTGTAATTGTCCCGGCATCCATTTCCTAGGCAGCTTGAGGTTGGGGGCTTCAGGTAAAGCACATGATATGCACGGCAGCATGCATGTTAATACATTCAGCCAAGCTTCACCTAACAAGGGGGCTGGGGCTTTTGAGGCATCCGGGGCTATCGACTCCACACCGAGAGCAGACGGCATAGGGTCAACCTCCAGATCGTCCGAAGCTGCCTCAGACTCCCCCCCTTCGTGGTTCTCCTCACCACTGGAAGCCTCAACATCCTCGCGGTCGGAGGACTCGCCATCACCGGCGACACTGGATGTCCCACCTCGGATGGCATTGGGGGATAGGGTTTCTAGGCCTGTAGCTTAGGGTGCTTAAGATAATATATACTTCAGGGTTTATAGGGTTTGTGTTTGTCTTTCCGAATTAGAGCCCAGGTGCTAGAGGGCACAGGTATCCCCGACCTCTCGAAAAGACGGCGGACCCCCACACATCTTGGCTTGTGTGGTCGTTTCGCAACCTTTGCGAATATTGTAATCAGATTTCGGATAATCCAAGCCTGGGCGTGCAACTCTGAGCCTGACAGACATATGCATCAATGGGGGCTGGGATGCAAATGCTCATGATCATGTTGCTCAATGTGAATGCTGGCCTGCTGGTGCCTTTCGAGTCACTGGCAAGTTATTGCTGTAAAACCTTCGCAGGAGCTCGGCGATGCCGGGCACAGTTGGTCGCATTCCTGGGATGGGGAGTAGGTTTTCCTAGTTATGATTACACCGTTCGCAAGTATATTTTACCAAGAGTCCCAGGGTAGTGATCAAGGGGGCCAAGAGGTCCACGTTGTCAGACAAAGAGGCTCTGGACAATGTGGGGTACTGCAGGATACAAAGTTTATCCTTCAAAAGCTGGGACATCACCACCGTGCTGTTTGCCCATGCCGAAAGCACAGGGCACGAACCGTTGGCGCTTTCCATGGCACCACCATCAGAGGAGTCCATCTTCTACCATGCAGAAGTGCTAGCTGGATAAGATGTCGTGCATTGTTGCCCATGACATGTCAACGAAAACCTCAAGGAGCCTTGAGAAATTCCCGATATGCATGTCCATGCCAATTCTCGATCGCGAAGTGCACTTAACACAAGCCATTCCGACCTCCAAGAAGATCTCGATGCCAAAAGCAGCAGCCCATACTGTGACCTGCCATAATTAAGGTACTCGTTGGCGAGGCCGGGCACGCGTACACAAACAAACATGCACAGGCTCACCTCGGGGTCGAAGATATGGAAACGATTCAGTTTGATGCTGAAAATGTTTCGGCATCGCACTCGGGCTTCTGATTTACAGATATGGCCGCTTTTAAGGATTTATGGCCGATCTGTCAAGAGTGGCCGCTTTAGAGAGATTCCATAGCAAAACCCCAAAGGATCGAAATAAACATTACAAAGGAATGTCCAGGAATGAAGACCTGCAGGACAGACTTGACTCCGCAGAGCATGCACTTGAGAAGTCCCTCGATAGGCAAGAGGCACTCGAAAAGAGTACAGCTCCCCAAAAGGGGCAGCCGATTGCACCCCCAGGGAT